AGCTACCTAACCTACCTACCTACCTACCTACCTACCTAACCTACCTACCTACGCGTACTACCGTACCTACCTAATCCTACCTACACTTACCTACCTACCTACCTACTAACCTACGCTACCATACACTACCTACGACTACCTACTAACCCACTACCTACCGTACCTACTACGCTAAGTACCTACCTACATCTACCTACCTACCTACCTACCTACCTACCTCCTAACCTACCTACCTACCGAGCTACCTACGCTACCTACGTACCTACGCTACCTACTACGCTACCAAATTACCCTACGATACCTTACTCTACCGTACCTACCACCTACCTACGCCATACTCTACCGATACCTAACCTACCTACGCTACCTACGTACCTACCGTACCGTAGCCTACATACCTACTCTATACCTACCTACTCTACCTAACCTACGCTACTCTTCCTACCTAAACGGGCTACCTACCCTGCCTACCTACCTACCTACAGCTACCTTACCTACCTACCTACCTACCTACCTACCTACCTACCTACCTACCTACCTACCTACGCTACCTACCTACCTACCGTAACCACCTACCTACTACTCACTACCTACCCTACCTACGCTACGCTATCCTACCTTACCTACCTACCTAACCGTACGTACCTACCTAACTACCTACGCTACCTACCTACCCTACCTACCTACCTACTACCTACCTACCTACCACCTATCCTACCATACCTACCTACTACCTACCGTAGCTACCGTACCATACCTACCTACCTAACCTACCTACCTACTAAGCCTACCCTACCTACGCTACCTACTCTACCTATCGCGTACGGACTACTACCTACCTACCTACCGATACCACCTACCTACCTACCTAGTACCAGTTAGACCTACGTACACGGTACGTACGCTACCCCTACCTAACACCTACGCTTGACCGACCCTACCTACCTACCTACCGTACCTACGCTACCACCTACCTACCCGTACTACCTACTACGTACCTACATATGTACGCGTACGCTACGTAACTGTACTTCCCTAGACCTACCTACCTACCTACCTACCTACCTACCTACCTACCTACCTACCTACCTACCTACCTACGTACCTACATATGTACCTACCTACGTACTTACTTCCCTACCTACCTACCTACCTACCTATACCTATTTACATATTTATTCACCTATCTCCCTACTTGTCCAGTCGTCCGTCCGCCGGTTTGATCGTCGAGTGCGTGCGTGCATGTGTGCATGTAAGTGGCATTGCAGGCATACGGACATAAACACATATAGATAGGCCGGTAACTAATACAATTATATCAGGAGTTAATAAAGACAAATTTGTCTTTATTAACTCCTGATATATGTATGTACTGGCCACATTAAGCGAACGGGAAACATGATGGTTGCGTAGACGCAGCGAACCTATCGATTGTTCGATGACCTACTAATCTCCGTAATATGTTACATTGGTAGTCATCCGGCGAGACATACCTCCGACATGGCTTCCTCCGCGATCCAGGTGGGCAGTCGTGTTAAAGACTGATGAAAGCGTTGACTTTCCCAGCTTATAAGGGGTTAAAGCGGCCGAAACTAAGGTTACTGGCTTGCAATTAGGCCCGGTTTCGAAAGCGCCAGTCATTTCAATTATGCCTGACATCGTCTAATGCTTACAGCGAGGACAGGCGTTGGTAGCCTTCACGCGGTAAGTCATTTCCCCACGAGAGAGAGGCAGAAATATTTGCGAGCATATGACGAGAAAGACTAGCAGCGCGTATTCGACTGTGAGAGCAGGCGCTATACTGTGACGGCCTACCGTACGTGCTTCAACGAGGCATTCGTATCCCGTGAGGTGATGATAGAGCGCGTGCCCGTGATCCCTGCCATCGTTAACACCGTTGTTTGCATTGGTTAGGAGGAGGCACGAGGTAATTGTATCGACACTGGGGGGACGGGTAAAGAAGTCGTGTCAGCGCGTATTCGGTTGCCACTCGCACAAAGCACGTGTTTATCATTAGCCTGCGGCGAGAGGCGGACTGTATAAACTAGATATTTACGCGCAATCAAGTTTTATTTCGCAGCCATAAACAGAGGAGAGTACAATATTGAACAACATCGCCAGCGTTTCATCGCAATATCGAATTGCCTATTGGTGTTGTTAATAACGCGGTGATGTTATAATCTCTATACGCTCGTCAGCATCGTGACGTCGTGGGGCAGCTGACGGTTGATAATGGCACCACTGCGGTGTAAGGCGTAAGGAGTGTGTAAATATTATATTAGACGCTGGGTAACTCACTTACGACGTGTAGCGGCAATAAATCTTTACAGGTATAATATGGGAGGTTTATGGCGCTACTTAATACACCCCGATTGTAATTATTTTTGTCGCTCTCAAAGTTTTGCACATTTTTATCGGTACAACGATGCTTTATTACACGTTTCTATAAGGGAGACCAGCCTCTGTTGGTTGTCTGTCCGATAGTCTGCTTACGATAGTGTGCGTGTGTATGCATGCCTGTGTGTATATATATATATATATATATATGTGTGTGTGTGTGTGTGTGTGTGTGTGTGTGTGTGTGTGTGTGTGTGTGTGTGTGTGTGTGTGTGTGTGTGTGTGCGTCGAGTTTGCCTGCATGCTTGCCTGGTGTCTGTCTGTCTGCCTGTATGTCTGTCTGTCCGTCTGTCTGTTACACTCTCCCCCACTATTTCTCGCTCACTCATTCCTTTTCTTGTTTTCTCTCTCTCTCTCTCTCTCTCTCTCTCTCTCTCTCTCTCTCTTTCTCTCGCGCGCGAACACTCTCTCTCTCTTTCTCTTACTCGCTGTCTCACCATCTCTATCCCGCTCTTTATCTCACGGTCTCCAGCTTTCTTCTCATCCCTCTATACATCCCCATCTAGGATTCAGATCGCTTCTCTGCACCTGTCAGCTGTCTGTATCTAACCATAAGCAATAGCCGCAGGAGATTTTGCCGCCGCATAGCACTCTTCGTTGTTATTCTTGGTAGCCGCTCGAAAAAATGCGGGTATATAACAGTTAATCATTTTTCCACGATCCAATTTATTTGCAAACTTGTGGAACGATTTAGGCCTCTTTGTGACGCGGTGTTAGCAAATAGGAATAATGACTAGCAGCTGGTCTAATAGCTACACAGCTGTGCACTGCTCCGCCGAAATGCTCTCATTAGCTAGACACTTTCAGATGTGTGTAAGCGCCCACATGTGAGTGAAATATGCGCAGCATCGTGTCAAGTGTTTTTTTTTATTCGCAGAGCGGGAGCCGTCAACACGGTAGTTACATTTATCACGCGTATATGATCTCGTGATACCGGGGCGAAGGGTTTCATTCGAAGGCTAAACAGTTCTATTATTCACTGCACATGCCGCATATACGCTCTGCCGACGCACAAACAGACACGCGAGCGTACATCCTCCCCCTTCTCACCGCACACACGCACACACACGCGCGCGCGCACACACACATATACACACACACACACACACACACACACACACACACCCGCGCGCACGCACGCGTGCGCAGGCGCTGTGTTCACCGCAGGGGAAGCGGCACATATTGGGATTCTTTAATCATTACGACCGCCTGTCTATCGATAATAACTTCAAGCGCCTCAACCTGCTCCCGTGTGATGTACCGTCGTAATCATGCCAGCGCGTGAGAAACCACCGTCTTATCTACTCAACATTCGGGCGTATACAGTTATGAGGTCTTTCGTAGTTGCCGCGAAAACGCCTGGTGCATAGTGGGTGACTTTGCGTCGATTTTTTTTTCGTATAGATTGGTATTTAATCTCGTATTTTCTTTTTTTAGAAATGTGCCTTCGGAGCACTCCACTGCGTGCAGCAGCACGCCGTCCTTCACCTCAGCCGACGGAAAGCCGGGTCGGACTGCTGGGAGCCCGTGCAGAAAGAGATCAAATATGGCTGCGAATGCATGTGGCCCATCAACGAGCTCGGCCCGATGGACACGATGTAAAGACTGGTTGCCGGCACCTCGACTTCTTCCTCTATTGGTTCTTCCCGCAGTCGACCGGAGGCCGGATCGAAATTCCCCGCGCTCTATATAGTAGGCGGCAGAAATGTCGACGCGCTACTATCCGAGAACGTCTTCGTACCCTAGGTTCGGAAGGACACACTCACACACACACACACACACACACACACACACACACACACACACACACACGCACACACAAGACCCACTGCGCACATACGCCCGCACGCAGAGACACGGACACACACACACCTACCACGCCACGCACATAACACGCGCGCGCACAGACACACTAATAGGTATTCACGAATTTCCAACGCGACGAACTATACTTCAACAGCCTGGTCAGATAAGGCTTCAAAGAATTTGCTATAAGATATTGCGAACGGGTGTAAAAATATAATCCGCTGGCCTTTTACAGTTACGAAATTATGCTGAACTTTATTAAGCAAAGCAGAGACAGTAACGTCGCAGTCGAATGATTTATTTCAACGATATGTTTTGTGGACATTGAACTAAGAAACACATTGAGAACCTGAGCTATGTATGTATAGGGCCTAGTTTGAAAATGCTGGCGTGGACCACCAGTCGGGCCGCCACACGACACACCACACGAGCGCGTTCACATGCTAATTGTGCTTCTAAACTGCTATTACAGCTCTTGCTACCCGCTAATATTACTCACTCACCAGTATCCACTACTAAATGGCGTATCTAAACGATAGTAATTGTCGAGATGCCGAGTGGACTATGGACACGAAACTTTGTCCTCGTCACCTGTAGCAGGGGCATTCTCATATTGTATGTATGTATGCCGTATGTATGTAAACGTGTATATTTGGAAAGCGTTGTTTTTCCGGGCTTTTAACAGCGCAAGATAGCGTAGCGGTCAAAGAAATGGCTTGCTTATTTGAACATACTGTTAACGTTCGTATTCCTACAATAATGTATTTATTTTCTTAAGCGTTGTGTTGTTATTGTATTTAACTGTACAGCAAAATAACTCTGGTGATGTAAATGTCATATTACGAAACGAAGTTTAGGCTGATAATATAAACCAACCAACATTCAGGCGCCACAAATAGGCACTTGTGCAACTTATATATAGTCGGTATTAGCTGTCACCTCATCACTGTGTAAAACTCGATGGCAACGACATACCATCTAAGAAAGAATATTTTATTTTGCGATATTGCCATGCATTACTATCCCGGATAACTGACGTCCGACTCATTTCGCTGTAGCCATGTTCGGTTGGCGTCACCATCGCCACCACAATGCTGTCTATGTGAAGACACCAGCCCCAACCGCGCTTGCCGCAAACGAGCCGGCGAAACTGAATAACGAAGCTGCCCACGTTGTTTTTCGCGCTTTGCTTCGCGGGTTGCTTCATTACCTTTCGTAGTGGGCGACTTTTCGCAGGGTCCCGACCGCGAGCTGCTCCTATCGCGCCGTCAGCGCGCGTGTAAGACCATAGAATGTAAGAAACATAGCGCGTATAGGATACCTGCGGCTAGAGAATTCTCTATGACGTCACTAACGCCGGGGTTTAGCAGACGCGGCGACCACGCCCGGCACAATGAGGCGCCGCGTGCAAAGGTCAGCAATCGTTTGTATCGGATGTGCGGCTGCGGCCACTGAATAGAAACCTAATGTTTTCCGATAGAGAGGAAATTGGCAGAGAGATGTGCAGAGGCGGACTAGCGCGCTCCGGCAGGAACACATACATTCGTCGCGGCTGCTGTCGCTTTCATGGCCCGCGTTAAGCTGAAGTGACCGCAGCCGAGGATGCATGGGCCCGATCGTTGGGGGCCCTAATGCACAGGCGCGGATACGTACAATATCACCCGCCCTGCATTGAACGATAATCCATTACGCAATGATGTTCGTATTCTGCGCGCTATTTTGCTTCGTGAGACAGGAAGCATGGCGGCTGACAGAGAATAACGAGCGTTTAACGCGGCGAAACATGGGCTTTTATTCATCGTCTAAATGGCACCAATAAATAAGGCTTGCTGAAGTTATATTAGTCAAGAGATATCAACCGTTTCCTGCGGATCTTCTATTAGGTATAGGTATTAACGGTCAATTTTCGAGAATGTTCGTTATGGATGTTTATACATTTCATTAGTCAATACGTAATCCGTGCGTTGTGGGGCACAAACTAGGTAGTAGAACAATCCGACGAATATATTTGGCGTTTGAAAGTAAATATATGGCAAGTACACGTGTGCTGTAAATATAATTATAGCGTGCAACACAACGTTTGTGACGGTTTACGTTGAATTTACGAAACAAGAGGGAAACCTTCAGGGAAAACATAAACGTATGATTTTCCAAACAACAAGGTCGAATGAACGGTCCACGAACAGAATTGTTGACATGGAGAAAGTTGTAAAAAGATATTAAGCAAAGATTATTTATTTTGGACATTTACTTATAACATAATAATAAATTATTATAGTTCTATAATGTTGACTAAATGATTGCTTCATTTTCTCGTTTATTTTGCTTTGTTGTTGGTACATGTTAAAACCATCTAATGATAGAAAACCATACAGTTCAATTAGGTTTGACCGAAACAGCAACGATCGATGTGACATAGACTTTCGCATTTCCCCAAATGCATGTCAAACACTGAAACTGTGTGATCGATGTTTTCTTTAATAGAGCCACGACATTTAATTTAAAGATTAAGTGAACATACAGCTGCTGCAACATCCTAGCCTTCGATTATTGTATTTTCTTGTGGATTGCCTGCACACTGCCCTGACCGACTAGGGAGCCAGTAAATAGAATGTATCTAGAGAGAAGATGTTTCCAGTGATAGAATACATATGCACGCATGCGCACATAGTTAGGCTCCCCACGCACACACACGCCCCCCGCCCACACACGCGCGTGCATAAACACACACACACACACACACACACACACACACACACACACACACACACACACACACACCCGCAAACGCACACGCACGCACGCAAGCACACGTGTTGTAAATGTCAGAACGATGTCAAAGCGA